GCCGGCTGATATTCCTGGTCTAGGCCCCGATCTCACCTGTGCAGCACTGCACTACGAACCACAGCCTTGAGTTTCGTTTGAATGGCGTGTTGTAGGGTTACCAATTGAGCTCAAATACTGATGACGTAGACCACATTAGCCTCTTTTGCCTCATCTTCGAATTTTTTCATTCCGTTTTGTAGAAGTGAAAAAAATTTCTGTGAAATTTTGCCAATGAATCATCAAGCGAAACACTAATTAATACGGATCACTGACACATCCATATTGAAGATTACCTACTTCCCGCTAGTCTATTTAGTGGTGTTAATAATTATAAATCCCACAAAGGTGGAAACTTGAAACTTCTTAGACTTAGTTATACACGAAATTTGCATTCCTGTCTTCTGACTTCGTCTTCAATGCTTCATTCAAAAGTTTTAACTTCGCATAACTATAACGACATGCTACAACCACATTTATTATTCACCGCCAGCAATACATCACTTCACACTTAATCTAGATGAATATGTGTTTATTACTGCCAGGTTGTGATATATATCGGTGACTTCAGGAGTTTTATTCGTAACAAAAGCGCAATTTTCCGCACGTTTCAGCCATTTTGCAGACTTATCAAACACAAGACCATTTCCACTTCCGGTTTGGCTTTGACCCATTTTGACCCCATTGGCGGTTTTCCGGTTCTGATGAAATACAATGTCAGCTGTTGTAACAATAATATTTCCATATAAACAGCCAAACTCCTAGTTACATTTAACAAGAATGGAGACAAGAACCGCACCATTATTAAGCCTAGTCTTCAGCGACAACGACAGAGAAGCAGAAATGCCAGAAAGTTTACCGCCCGAGGTAAGTCGACTAACAAACTAACAATAATTCAAACTTCAAATTCGAATGTTCAATTTCAATGTTGTTTGCATTACGCGATAACTATAATAATATTACGAAATAGATATAAATTACCTAATGCAGAACAATTTTGTGACCATGCACGATATTAATCTTGTAGCTTGTATCTTGGCTCTCTCTTGTATTTCACAAGGTACTCGATTACATCGAAGTGCGGGGATTATTTAGAGAAACAGAAGATTATTAGTATTACTATTAGTACTATTACTATTACTATTACTATTAGTATTACTATATTAGGGCCAACCGCCTCTAATTCTCTAAATATTTTACTTTTTTATTAGTGTTTCGAATCACCAGAATTTTCCGCACATACCCTAACTCTGGTTTCAATAACCCGTGTTTGTCCCCTCTCCAGCCGTCTATTTGTTCCCCATGGCATCCTTATATCTATTAATAGTATTATAGCTATCACAATTATGTTCCATATCCTCTTTCATATTCTTATTACAACGATTACACCTGTCGTCACTGAAGTTATTTCTAAAGTAACCTTTGGCTGAGAGGGTCTATGTCCCTTGGGGTACTGGCGGAACGTACCCTGGGGTACATAGACCCTATGAGCTAACCTTTGAGCTCAATCATGCAAGTTTTACATTTAAATCCAAAACACGAGTCGGCAAATGATAATTCTTTCATATATTCCTTCAATCCATATGTTTCAATGTTTATCATCTTTATTTTTGTTTTTCCTTTGGTTTTCATTTTATCTCTTGTTATTACACTTTTTTTAAATAGCTTGTTTTACTTGTTTTTTCCAGGCTTTCTTTGTTTTTATTCCGATGGTTGTGAGTGATATTCCTAAATCATAGTTGTCTAAAATTTCCTAGGTTTTGTTTGCCCAATTTTTTTCTTCCTCTTTAGTCTGTTGTATGTAAACTCTTTATCAATCTATTATTTTCCAAATTAACTATGAATTGTAGAAGCATGAGTTTTTTGTAATTTATCTTGTCTAATATCGGTAGAATACCTATAGCTCTATTCGCAGAGCTTCTAGCGGTGTTTTACTGTGTGCTTTTAGAATTTTGCGTAAGCACTCATTTTGAAAGTCTTCTAACATTTTCCCTTTTCCCTTGGTCAGGTTTGTCCAAGTTTTACTATTATTTAATAATTAATGCAACCCAATGCAAGTGTTGGACCATGCATAGTCACCATAGTGCATACAGTATAGATAGTGTTTGCAATCTTTAGTTGTCTATTGTCAAATGTCATTTTCTGAAGTGTTTGTCTCAATATTCTTGTTGGGTGTATATAATTATCTATATCCATATTGTGTGATCCTTAAAACTGTGCGTTTATATTGCGTTTTTTTAATATTAGGATTGTAAAAAGTAATTTTTTGTCAGTTTTTCTCTGTGGTAATGCATGTTATTAGTGACTTAAAGTGATTACATCACCATAAATAGTAAAACTAAAAAAAATATTTCTAGTTTTTCACAAAATGTAAGTAATTCTGTTCACTTTTTATGGTTAAATTGCTGCATCATACTTCCTATATTCCTATGTTGTTCGATGTAAACATACACTCGTGGCTCATACTTAGCCCATAGCAAGCAATTAATGTCCGCTGTGGCTATATGCCCGGCAGCCGGTCTCGGTCTTCGATTTCCTAAATGCCCGGCAGTTGCTAACCCTAACCATAACCCTTGTTTACTTGAGATAACGCTGAAAATTAAAAACTGCCGGGCATTTAGGAAATCGAAACCGTGGCCGGTAGCCGTCAGATATATGCCGGTTGCCGGGCATATAGCCACTCTGATTAACGTCAGAATATTATAATAATATCAAATCGTCCAGGTTTTTAGGATTTTTAACTAGTTGAGAAACACTCTTATCAGGTAAGAATTTGACGATACATTTAGTACCGTTAGTAATTAGTATTAATGTCGCAGGGATGAGATTCTTCCGCGGATCCGCGGAAATCCGCGGATTTGACAGTCCCAGGGGTCGATTTTGTGAAACGTCTAAATTCGTTGAGAAAATTGGGAGGGGGGTAACAATGTAACAATTTAAATTATATACCCTCAACAGCACCTGACTGTAGACTGTAGAGTGTAGACAGTAGGCTGACAGCGAAGTATACAGTGTATCTGTTTTTGCGTACCAGAAAAGAAAATCCTCGTTCACAGGCTGCAGTAGAGGGGCAAACATTTGAGGTAGCTGATCACGTAACGACCATGCCTGGCCTGGGGGCCGGGTTTACATGTTGCCGTGTGCATGTTGTGTGCATGACTATGCACTGATTGTTCCATTCGCATTGTGTTTTTTTCATTCAAATCTCGTCGCAGCAAGGCAGCTTATGTCTGAGTAAAACAATGCAAGCGACGGGTGGAAACAGAAAAATATCATTATGTCTAGACATTTAATAAAAAATTTGCCCTATTTTCAGCCCGCTGATTTCCTATTATAGTTCGTTTGTCCCTTTTGACAACTTGAAAAGGTGATTCAAGAGTCTCCTATAATGTGTTCAGAATAGCTTAGAATGCACCAAATTGCACCATTCTTTTAAAAAAATTCCGGGGGAGCATGCCTCCGGACCCCCCTAGCATCGCGATGACCTACGGTCCTCCCATTGCTCGCTCCTCTGTTTGCTAATTAAGATTAAATTTAATAAGATTAAGATTAAATTATCCAATCTCATCCCTGAATGTAAAAAAATGGCTTTTTTTTACAAATATTACCATAGAAAATTCGTGACGTAGTCAATTTAACTGCTGTTGTTTTATTCTATCGTACTTGGGCTACACAAGGGTACGGGGGCCTACTAAGTGGTTCACAATCTATATGTAGGTTCAGTTTTTGCAAAATATCAAGACAAAAATTGAGAAGTACAGTGTGTTAATTCGCACTAGCTGTGCAGAAACACGTTTGACTTTCTCTCTTTTACTTTTATTTTCGTTCTTTCGCTGTTTTGATATGCCAGCTAAAGCTAGATACTATAAGATAGTGTTGTTTTATCGTTTATCTGGTACGTAGCGTGTTCTGTGAAGTCGGCTGTTAGAAGAGCTCTCTAACAGGGGGCTGAACTGCCCTAAATACTCGATAATGTACTTGAAATGTTTTAGTGGTATGCAGAGGCCGATCAGTGGTGAAAGCACGCTTGTGTGTGATCTCGTCTTCTGATATAAATGAGGTCGTTATCCTAGTTCATCACAAATGACCGTGGATGGAGAGCTAATTCAAAGCCTCTGTTGTTGTGCACTGAGCCACTGACACCATTGTTCCCAGTTCGCATGTTATATATACATATATATATATATTATATATATATATATATTATATATATATATATAGATATTATTAAGAGCATATAAAGAAGGCTTTATATGCTCTTGATATTATATATATATATACAGCCACAGGGTGCGAAATTAACGGGAGTCCGGAGTCAAATACTCTCTGATTTACTGTCGGACTCCCTGATTTGACATATGCAGGAGTCCGTGTGACGCCCTGAAAATTCTGCCATACTAACTATAGTTCGTTCCGGAGCACAGCCTCGCGGAATTACTGTATTTTTTCAGCTAATGTCCAAAGAAAATTGGGCAGACATGCAACTGCATGAATCTTAAAAATAAGCACATGCATTATTGTTTTAATATCTTTAATGAGGGTAGGGAGTCCGTTGGACTCCCTTGTTCAAAAGTTAATTTCTACCCCTGTATATATATATATATATATATATATATATATATAATTATAATAAATATATATATCTATTATATTATAATATATATATATAGAGAGAGAGCGAAAGAGAGAGAGAGAGAGATCGAGAGAGAGAGAGAGCGAGAGAGAGAGAGAGGTGTGCGTATGTAATACAAGAATAAAGAATGATATACACAAAACGTATAAAGAAACGTTTCGAACTATTTGTACATTTATTATGGTAATTATCTCTTTGTTTTAAATTGTTTAAAAAAATTGTCATTTTACAATAGTTGAGACTTCGGAAATTTTCTCACGATTCAGCCGAAGTTGTTTTTGTCCTGTCAAAACTCTTTGCGACGGAATAAATTTACATTATTACATTATTTTATTTTAAATTATAGTTATATTTATTATTATGTTTATTGCACTGCATGCCAAATTTTTTGCCTTACCCTAACCCCAACCACTTAATTTGTATGTGTCTACTGAGTTCATGAACGTCTGCGTGTTTTTGTAGCGTAATTATGAATCGTTGTCAATTTGTGTTACAGGATGCAGAGGGGAACATAGAATATAAGGTAGGTTATCTTTCAAACAAGTTGTTACTGTAATATGCTGTACTATGCATTGCTATGCTATGCAATGTTGTGCTATTTTATGCTGTGCTATGATGCGCCATGACATGCTACACTATCATATACTATACCATGCCATACAATACCATACCATACCATACCATACCATACGATACCATGTCATACAATACCACACCATGCTATTCCATGCCATGATATACCATACTGTACAATATTATAATGCTATTATATACTACTATAAATTAATACTAGTCTATGCTGTTCTATTTTATACTATACTTTAGTACTGTACTATGCTAATTGCTATGGTATGCTGTGCTGTGCTGTGCTGTGTTGTTCTATACTTATTTACTATACCAGTAATGCAGTATAATATATTCTATAATTACACTATACTGCACTATCAGGAGTGAGTAAAAACATTGAATGAAATAAGTTCATTGGATTTCGTTGAAAACTATGAATTCATATTTATTCCAAGAAATTAACTTACTATCGAAATTTTCGATCTCCCTTTGGAATGAAGATTTCCCGAATGGAGATCGGAAATTTTGATAGTGAGTTAATTTCTTGGATTTAACACAAGATAAATATGAATTCACAATAAAAACATTGTTTTTATACACTCCTGATGCTATGCTATGCTATACTCCACTGTACATATCTATGCCATTCTATGATATAGATATATTCATGGTATAAATGTTTGCGAAATGGACTCTCATGTGATGATTGTGCTTGTAGCTGAAGCTGATCAATCCGACACGGACACGATTCGAGCATCTCGTCACGCAGATGAAATGGCGTTTGCAGGAGGGGCACGGCGAGGCTATATATGAGATTGGTGTGGAAGATTCTGGTCTGCTGGCAGGCCTCACCGCTGCCGAAATGTCACTTTCCCTCAAGACTCTGGACAGAATGGCGGAGAAGTGAGCATGTTTTTTTTGCTTTGATAATACTGGCATCATTTGTTTTAGGCAAAGGTTTGCTGTGTTTGTTGTGATTCCCACTACAGCCAGCCTCGACTGTTTCGTGCAATCTTGTGTTTTGAATAAACCAAACAGATGGTGCCTTTAACCAGACTAGTGTGCATTTAATTTTAATTTTAAAACTTTGAAATCTATGTCATAGTTGGTGTGAAACAAAATCGCTCTGCACCCGTCATATAATCATTTTCGATAATTACTACAAAAACAAAATAACAAAAGGCTAGCAAATTGATAACTTTTCATTATCCGATATTAACTTGCATTACCGTGTTCTTTACAAGACAGCAAACAATCGATGTTTTACAAGGGATTTTATCTATAGCTCTGTGTGTTGTCATTGGCAGGCTGGGAGCTACAGTGACTCCACTAAGAGTGAGGCAGATTGAGATGGAGAATAGTGAGAATGGCGAACCGGTCGAAGTTAAACATGCATCGGAGCTACTTGTCCGAAAAGTCCCTGATGATCAGCAGGTGGGCTTTTAATGGGGACACTTGAGCTAGAAGTCCAAACGGATTTTCGTGCTCATCTATTTAGAAATAACAGAAAAGCAATGATGTTTGGCCGTGGTAGAGTTGATGACTCCCCACCCCCACCTCTATGAAGGATAAAAATCAGTACCTTGGCTTGGAATGATCTATCTAAAATCTGTAGTGGCTCTTTATCTGTAAAGCTGTGTTAATCACAGATCTTTAAAACAAGCAGCACGATGAAGAGTTGATTAATCTGTGGCTTTGATATATTGCATTATATCAGTAGTTATAGCTATATCAATTATTGCCTGCTGGAAATGCTAAAGATGCCATTTTAAATCTTCAAACTTCAAGTTTTATGCAGCCTTTGCCCCCCTACTCCCAATGTAGGGTTAACCACCTCACCCCACTCCACCCACCCGTCGTCAGGGCACTTAACCCCTGCACCGGGCAGTCTGTGGTGCCATCCAGGGCCATTATCAGAGTAAGATGGAGATTTTTGGCAATTCACTGTTGCTCAGATGGAGGATTCCTGCACTCAGTGCGCGAATAACCTCGCCATTTTCTCTCGCCCTCGCGCAGTTCATAGAGCTTCGTGTGGCAGTGCTTGGCAATGCCGACGCTGGGAAGTCCACACTGCTGGGCACACTGACCCACGGCCGGCTGGACAACGGGCGAGGCAGAGCCAGGTTGAACGTGTTTCGTCATCCGCACGAGATTCAGTCCGGGAGGACGTCCAGCGTCAGCCATGAGATCCTCGGCTTCGACAGCACGGGCCAGGTAAGATAAGTTCTCTGTTTGGATTCTATGTGTGTGTGCATGCATGCACGCGCGCGTGTGTCACTGTGTGTGCGTGCGTGCATGCGCGCGGGTGTGTGTGTATGTGCATGCATGTGTGTTTGTGTGTGTGTGCTTGTGTGCGAGCAAAAGTTGAGTGTGCGCTTGTGTGCATGCGTACGTTCGGGCAGGTCATTGCCAGTGGAAGTAAAGGAAAGAGATGGTGTACTATCGTATTTAGAGAAATTGTATTTCTTAAATGCACGTGCATGTTTTTCATATTATTCAAACGTTTCCATTGTGCTTTCTGTCTGTCTGTCTGTCATATCTCCCAACCAGTACATCCAAATATGTCCCTTTTCCAGTGCATCCAATCATTCACTGCCCAAGACATCCAAATATGCTCCCATACATACAACATGTCCCTGTTCCAATAAGTCCAAAAACGTCCAATATGTCCTCCATCCAATACGTCCAATACACCCAATATATCTCCTGTCTAAGATGGTCCCTGCAATACGTTTCCCATCCAATATGTCCAATACATCAGATCTAATACATCCCCTGTCTAATATGTTCAATACATCAGATCTAATACATCCCCTGTCTAATATGTTCAATACATCAGATCTAATACATCCCCTGTCTAATATGTTCAATACATCAGCATCTAATACATTCCCTGTCCAATATGTTCAATACATCAGATTATACATCCCCTGTTAATATGTTCAATACTATGCATCTAATAATCCCTGTCTTAATATGTTCAATACATCAGATCTAATACATCCCCTGTCCAATATGTTTAATACATCAGATCTAATACATCCCCTGTCCAATATGTTCAATACATCAGATCTAATACATCCCCTGTCCAATATGTTCCCATCCCATACGTCAAAATATGTCCAATACATCCAATACTTATCACACCCAATAAATCCAAATACATCTAACACGTCCTCTGTCCAATACGTCTCCTGTCCAATACGTGTCCCTTGTCCTATATGTTCAATACGTCCCCCGCCTAATACGTTCAATATGTCCCATGTCCAATATGTCCCCATACAATACAGGCAATACCTCAAATAAATCCCCTGTTCTCCACTCCAATATCTCATCAATCCGTCATCCCTTCCATTAATCTACTAATCACACGACCTTTGGTCTCCTTCAGGTCATTAATTACACTGAGTCGAGGAGAGCGGAGGATATATGCGAGAACTCAACTAAACTTATCACGTTCGTTGATTTGGCTGGACATCAAAAATACCTGCACACAACCATCTCTGGCCTAACTGCTTATGCACCAGACTTTGTCATGCTTGTGGTCAGTGCCAACACTGGAATTGGTAAGTGTCACCTGCAATAAGACATCACTAATACATTGACAGAAACGGTATAGTCTGAGAGAGTAAAATATACATACACCACACACAAACACACCTTACCTTACTCACAGTACAGGCATACTCACCTTTAATTTGAGGCATTTATACAGATATAATTCCTCCAATTCTTTATTTTAAGATTATTTTTCAATGTTTTTTTTAAATAAACCCAACAGTGGCTAACATAGTATTATGCAAAACCTTACCATTTGAACTTTCCGTGCAGAAATAAACTTGCTCCATAGATCTTGAAATAAATATCAATGCTGGCGGATGAGAAAAGAAACGTGAAATAAAAGAATTGAAAGGGCTGCCAACCTGTATAGAATGGAAGCCTGTCTATCAAAGAATACTTTAGATTTTCTTTTGAGTGGCTGCTATGTAAAGGGCTGTCTGTAATCACTCGTTGAAGAAGTGAGCTAAGGATTTAGGAGTTGATAATTATAGCAGATAGCAGCTTGCTTCCAAGATTGTGTAACAAATTAATTTTGTTTTGCATGGTAAGTGCAAATGGTGTTTTATGTAATACTATGTTATTCACTGTTGGATTTATTTAAAAAAAAACAGTCATGAGAAAATTATCTGCAAAACTTCTCTTCCTGTCAGGATTTGAACCCCTTCTCTGCTGTATTTCAGGCCAGAACACTAACCTCTTTACTATGAAGACTGCTTACAGTCTGGGAGTGAAGTGTTAACATCAGGAAGTCATGGCTGTTCTTTACATAGAATATCTGAGTGTAAGCGAGTAACATGTGATGTAATGCAGTTAACAATAATCGTAAATGGAGCACTCCACGAATAATAATGCTTGACACTACGTAATTTACTTGTTCCAGCTGGCACGACTAAGGAGCATCTCGGACTTGCACTGGCCCTGCAAGTCCCTATATTCGTCATGGTTAGTAAGATCGATCTCTGTTCAGCATCTGTGATAGAAAGGACAACGCAGCAGTTAGAACGCGTGCTCAAGTCACCTGGATGCAAGAAGGTACCATTCCGCATCCACGGCCGTGACGACGCCATTACTGCTGCCTCCTGTTTCACTGGCGAAAAGTAAGTCGGGATGGGTTTGGTCCAAGTCCGTGAAATTGAAATTATCTGAGAGGCAATGCAATTTGCTTCATGTAAGTGTTTTTCCACTAATCACTGAGTGTGCAATATGAGGCACAAAGATTATATTCAACTAATATATCTCACAGCCATGATATATAAAGCAGTTAAGTCCTGAAAAATTTCTTTAGACTTCATGCAAAAATTTGCCTTAGGTGTACAAACCGTGAAATGTTATTCTTTAACGCGTGTGTTTCTCTGCAGCTACTGCACTGCTCCGATCTTCTTCACTTCAAGCGTTACGGGCGAGAACCTTGACCTTCTAACGACCTTCCTCAACGTTCTGCCGCAGTTTAGCTCGTTAAAAGAACGTGAGCAAAAGATTCAGGATCACCCTGAATTCCAGGTACAGTTTGTTAAAACGTCTGTGTTATGAGGTTATTGAGCTCATTCCTACTCACTGAGTATGTGAAAATATAAATGCCAATTATTTGTATAAATACCACTTTTAGTAGTTACATATTGTTTTGCAGCTACTAAAAAGTAACATTACATGATGACGATTATGGCGGTGATGACAATGACAAAGACAACAACGCCGATGATAATGATGATAATAATAACACTTATTGATGGTACAGGCAAATAATTAACATGTAATGTGGTTCAAATGAAATAAATAAGTTCTATTGTCTATTTGTACAGATTGACTCGATGTTTAAACTACAAGGCACTGGCACTGTTGTGGGTGGAACGCTTGTCAGGTAAGTTGTAGTAAGCATTTCTGTCTGCTATATAATGAAAGCAATAATACTGAATGTAATAGTTATGAACATAAATAAAATTAATGTATATGTTCTCCCCGACGGGGAATTGAACCCCGGTCTCCCGCGTGACAGGCGGGGATACTAACCACTATACTAGCGAGGAATGTACATAAAATCAAAAAAATTTCAATGTAAATCAATGTAAATTTCAAGTTAAAAGTATTTCAAACGCGAGCATAGGAAAATCGATATGATGATAAGGTGTAGTAAATCGTTTGTGAGATAGGACATAGTTACACACTGGCATCCACGAAACGTCCCCTTGGTCTGCCCTAGTTGTCAATTGTCGATTAGAAATGTTGTTTGACATTTTGGTGTGCACTGTATTTAATATCTAATCTATCAATTGCAATTTACTACACAGTGCATGGCCGGGGTCTTTTGTAGCCGTTGTGTGAATATGTGTCTTGCCATCTCCATATATAGTATATGTGTATACAGGAAAGATAGGCCCAAACATTTAAAGCTTGTAAAGAAAGTTGGAGAAATTTCAGTGTGTATTGTTGAACACTGTACGGTGCATGTAAATAATTAAAGGGACACATCGAGGGCCGGACACACTAGGTGATTAAATCGGGCGACTAAATCGCTGGTGAAATTGCCTAGTGTGTCCACTCAATCGCCGCCGATTTAGTCGCCGGATTTAGTCGCCTGATTTAGTCGCCCGATTTAATCGCATAGATCAAAACGTTTTGATATTATCGGGCGATTTAGTCGCCCGATTTAGTCGCCCGATTTAATCGCCTAGTGTGTCCAGGGCCGGCGATAAAATCGCCCGATTGTACAATTCATCAGCCAATCAAAGTTGTTCAATGATACTGACGTAATAGCGATGTTTCATGTTTAGTATGTCATGTCATGTAATAGCGATGCACGCACGCACGCACGCATGTGTACGTGCACACGGACGCACACACTCATGCACGCACGTGTACGTGCACACGCACGCACGCACGTCTACGTGCACATGCATGCACGCACGCACGCACGTGTACTTGCACACGCACGCACACACTCATGCACGCATGCACGCACGCACGCACGTCTACGTGCACATGCATGCACGCACGCACGCACGTGTACCTGCACACGCACGCAGGCACGTACGCACGCACGCATGCACGCAGGTGAACGCACGTCTACGTGCACATGCATGCACGCACGCACGCACGTGTACCTGCACACGCACGCACACACTCATGCACGCACGTGTACGTGCACACGCACGCACGCACGTCTACGTGCACATGCATGCACGCACGCACACACTCATGCATGCACGTGTACGTGCACACGCACGGCATGCACGCACGTGTACGTGCGCACGCACGCACGTCTACGTGCACATGCATGCACGCACGCACGCATGTGTACGTACACACGCACGCACACACTCATGAACGCACGTGTACGTGCACATGCACGCACGCACACACGCATGAACGCACGTGTACGTGCACACGCACGCACGCACGCACGTCTACGTGCACATGCACGA